TACGTGGCGAGTACCACACCTCCAAGGAGTATCGAACCCAGTGTGGGTTCAGTCCCGTGGGCGGTGCGGTAGCAACGCTGCGCCTACGTGGTGAGTGCGCCAACCTCGGGGCGGGATACGGCAAGTATCTCCCCATATCTCCCCATATCTCCCCATATCTCGGGGCGGGATACGGCAAGTCTCGTGCCGTGTGTTCAGAGCACCGCGCGAATACAAGAGGCAGCGGATCAGCCGACTACGGCCGAATAGTTCCGAGTGCGTGCCCTCTCGGAAGAGTTGCGTGCTCCGCTCCTACGTGCGTGCACGCCTCCGGTCCAGTCGAAGAGGGAGGGGGTCCCCAGCAGCGAGGAGAGCTCCCCCTCCCACGCGGGGCAGAAGGCCGCGATCGCGTTGTCGTAGAGGTAGGGCGACGCGGTCATCGTCTCGAGGAGGAGGCCTAGCGGCCGGTAGAGCCACGGGCGCAGCAGCCAGCGGTAGGGCGTGGAGCGCTGCAGCGAGGCGGACGGGCGGAGGAGGTGGAGGATGAGAGACAGCCGAGAGACAGCCGAGAGACAGCCGAGAGACAGCCGAGAGACAGCCGAGAGAGGGCAGAGAGGCGCCTGCAGCGAGGCGGACGGGCGGAGAAGGTCGAGGAAGGAATGGAGCTCGTGCACGTGCGCCTGCTCTTCCTCGTACTCGTCCACCGACCGGTAACCCGCGAGCCGGAGAGGCGACGAGAGGAGCGAGAGCGCCCAGCGCGCCGCCCACGGGCAAGAGCGGAAGAAGGTTCGCTCCGCCGGCGATCCTAGCCGGAACCGCGAGCGGCCGCACCTCGCCCTCAGCCTCCCCGCCCAGTCGATGTCGGCGGGCAAGCGCGCTGCGCCGCGCACCACGAAGGGTGTGCCGTTGCGGAGCCGCGCGCCGAAGGCGGCACGGGAGAGGCTCGAGGCGGCCACCTCTTCCGCCGGGAGCAGCGACGGCGAGCGGTCGAAGAGGAGCCTCCGCACTACGCTGCACCACGACCTCTCCCCCGCCCGGACAGAGGCGGCGACGGCGCCGAGGGCGGCGGCGGACGAGCTCCCCACCAACACGCCCGGCGCCGCCGCCAGCAGTAGCCACGCCAGGCTCGAGCCGCAACGCGGCCACGCCGGCCGCGGCTCCGCGCCGCTGAGCGGCTCCGCGCCGTTGAGGGACGGGCGTCGAGTCAATCGGAGCGCCTTCCCGCAGAGCACGAGCGCCGCCAGCGTGACGCCGAGCGTGAGCGCGAGGGCCGGACCGGCCGCGCCCGGTGAGGCCTCGTACCGCGCCGTCAGCCACGGACCCGGACCTGCCGGGCGGGTGGCGTTTGCGCTAGCCACGGCGGCAACGCGCAGCTGCTGCTGGCCTCGCAGTGCGACGGCGGGCACACGCAGGACGCTGCACGCCGTGGTCGTGCCTCCCTGCACCTCGGCGTTGCCGGAGCAGCCGATCAGGCGGAGGGCGTCACACTGACCGCTCACGGCATACAGGTCAGCACCGACGCCGTCCGGATCGCAGCCACGGAGGAGGAGGTCTGCCGATGCGTCGTCCCGAGGTGGAAGCAGGTACCAGAGCGTCTTGCCGGCGGGCGGGGCGCCACAACGGCCGCCGGCCAGCCGCTCGAGCGTCTCACGCGACTCCGGGTTGGGCATCACCTTGCTGAAGTTGAGCTGGACTCCATACTCGGCGTAGCTGAGCGCAGTGTCGGCGGCGCTGAGACGAAAGAAGGCGCCCGCGCTCGGGCAGTTGCCCATATACGTGCAATATATGTGTGTACATGAATTTGCGGCAGCTGCTCAGACCATTGGCTTGAGGTGATACGCACTTGGTGTGTGATCGATACATTTTTTAACACCTTAGGTCTCAGCACTCAGGAGAGCTGGAGAGGGCCGCAGAGGTTGTATTCGAGTGGAAGGCTGAGGTGGGAGGTCAGGTAGGGGTCTGGGCGGCCTACACGTGTGCAGTCCTTTTGGGTTGACAGTTGCTCAGTGCATGACTTGCCCGGGAGGGGGGGGGGGGTCGAGGAGACAATATAGTCATACGCGCGGCCACACGTGTAGGCGCGTATCTTAGCTAAAACGAGCGCCAGCACGAGTAGACGCTTATATTCGAGCTCGCCAAATGCGCATCTGCACGTGGAGGCGCTCATGTTAGCTAGGGCTCACACCTGCACGTGTGGGCGCGTATCTGACACAAGCAGCTACACGTGTGGGCGCGAGCCTTGGCTAAGATGCGCGCCTACACGTGCAGGCGCTTATTTTTGCCGCACTTTCCGGGGTTTGCCGGCTGAGGCCGAAATCGGTTCACACCTGCTCTTGCAGGTGTGAACACAAAGGATTCGCTGTATCTACTCAGCTGCTCCGCTTACACTTACCTGTGAGGTGTGTGAACGATATCGGTGTCGAAACACCAGCCCGACGCTCACTAGAGCTCAAACGGGGTAGCGCAGCTGTGAGCGCTTTGAGCCATCCCCGTTTATTCCCCTGGTGTGGTTCTCGAGGTTCTCGAGGTGGATATCCTTTGGCCGTAGCGAGGATTGGTGTGACGCGATCCACGCAGGCGTGTTTTCTGGCGGCCGACCGTCAGTGCACGGAGTTGCCCCTTCTCCGACTGCCCCGGCTAGTTCACGAGTTTCGCGGGAGTGACCCCATGCGTCAAACCCGAGACCTAGCGCGGGTGGATTGGAGGGGGCTCGCCCCGTTCCTCCCCATCGGGCCGCATAAGCGGCCACGCACGCCTCGCAGATTCGTTTCTCGCGCCTGGGTCAGGCGCGCGGGGCATCCCCCGGGTCGCTCGACCAGCGATCCGAAGAGTGGCCGCTATGCGAAGGAAAGAGTGGGGCCCTCCCCGGGGTACGGCCCCCTCCGGGGGGAAGGGAATTGCGGGGTCCCCTCGGGCGCCTCAGTTCGGCCCTCCCGAGGGGGGGAGGGGAGCAAGGGGGTGGGGGGATTGGGGTGGTGGGGAGGGGTCTCGGATTTCATGTGGCTAAGACTTGCCTTTCGGGGAGGGGCCTCCGGCCGTGCGAGGCTAGCTCAGCTCGACATCTTCCCCTCCTCCCTCGAGGCAGCGAGTAGGCAGCGAGAGGAGGTCTCGAGCGCCTATATGAAGGTATGTGAGATGGTGATGGGAATGGGTGGTCGGGCGGGCGGGCGGACGGGCGGGCAAGCGGGGAGAGGCGGGCGGGCGGGGCGGGGCGGGCGGGCGGGGTGATCGGAGAAGTCGTATCCACAATCCGCAGCAGCGGAGCAGTCGCAGCAGCAGCAGCTGCTGCAGCAGCAAGATGCAACCTGCCGCAGATTGCTGCCGTTGTCTGCGCCGCGATCCGCCGCCGCGCCGCCGCGCCGCCGCCGCCTGCGCTCGCCGCCGCCTCGTAGACGACTCCTCTCGCGCTTGGAGAGCCGCGCAGCGGGCCGCGAGGTTGTGGTCAGAGAGCAGCAGGGTTGTGAGATCACAAAATTGGCCAATTTTGAGGTTGCTCGAGAGAGCCTGGAAATGGTCCCGCGCCGTAGCCCCGGTGCCGGCGCATCACACCTCAGCCTCGCGAGGGGCGAGGCGGTCATCAGTGAGGCTGCGTAAGACCGCGAACCGTGTGCATGTTCGTTGCCCGTACTACCGCGGTTTACCGCGTTCACAGCCTCTTGGAAAAAAGTAAAAAAACAACAAAAAATCGCCTTTGGATTTGGATTTGCATAGTACTAGATCGTGCTCACACGCCGGTCATCTTGCGGACAAAGACGATGAAGTGGATGACGGCGTACGAGGCGATCCAGTAGCAGCAGACGCCGAGCGTGCCCGACGTGAGAGCATGCATCTGCGTGCCACGCTTGGGCTCGCCCTCGCCATCGAAGATGTTGTTGGGGCCAGGCATGCCCATGAGGAAATGGGGGACGGGTCCCAGGCAGCACAGGTAGACGAATATCCACGATTGGGCGGCCCAGGAGAGGAGCCGGACAGCAGGGCTGGCGTCGTCATTCACGATGGCGCAGACCAGCGCGACCGGCAAGCAAACGCAAAGACTCGTCATGGCGTCCACGTTGCCGCCGCGGGTGCGTGCTACCTTCCAGCCAAAGAAGGGGTAGGTGTACGTGTATGGCTCGGGGGCCTTTTGGATCGGCCAGAGGAGCCAATAGGAGATGCCCTTGACCCCGTAAGCGGCGTGCATCTGGACGATGCTCTCGAACATCAGTCTCACCGCCGACCATGCAGTGAGCACCCAGATGGGCGCGTTCATCGCAAACTCTTTGCCAAAGGCAGCGAAGAAGGGAGCGGCGCAGATACCGAATGCGGGCGGGAAGGCGACGAGGAAGAAGGGGAGGCCGGCAACTGTCGGAAATAAGGGAAACAGCAGGTTGGTCGCTACCCACGAGTACGTCATCGTCACGAGCTGCGTGGCAACGTAGGTGGACGGCGAGTACGAGGGGGCGTACCTAGTCACCATGAACGTCTGCACGGCGAGCAGGGTCGCGTTCATCGCCCAGCCCCACAGCACCGGAGCCCAAGGCCGCGACTCGGCAACCTCGGCCTTCCACGAGTCCTCCGCCGCCGGGGCGGGCGCGGCCGCTTTCGACGACGTGCCGCGCGACTTGAAGATGTAAATGGCGATGCCGCCCGCCACGAGGCTCGCGCCGGCCTTGATTGACGAGGAGTCTATCATGTGAAGAGACCGACCCGCGCCGGCTGTACCCTCCAAAAAGAATTAAACCCTTGACACAGTAGTGGGCACGGACTGGCGCGCACTGGCACTGGCAGTTGTGAGATATGTAACGATCTTCCATGTTGCCGACGCGGCGCCGGAGTGGCCGGCGCTGCTCGCCGCGACCACGACGGCTACTCCGATGCTCCGGGCCGACCCGTCCTACCCGACGGTGGCACTCTTCCACGTCTCGCTCACGCTGAGAAAAATTCTGAAACGGCGTGCAGCATAGTCGCCGACGAGTCGGTCCGCGTGCCTCCTCGTGTCGCGCATCGTTCTCACCCATCCATAAACTCACTTTGGCCTCACTAAAGCGAAGTCTGAACCCTTAATCCTCAGATTTTAGATTAGGACGCTGTGGACCCTCTACCCTACGAGGAGCTACTTTCGGTGCGTGTCCGGTGAGACCCGACTTCGCCAAGACTTCGGAAACTCACTCCCATTTTTTCTCATATCTCAGCTACAGAATTCACACAGAGCGAGAGGAGACTCACAGGAGACTCAGGTACTCTCCAACGCTATCGATTTCCCTCAACCGTTCTCGGGTCGGCCGCCCCCGCCGTCGACCCACGGTCTCCGGGTCGACCGACCGTGTCGCCAAACTGCTCGCGGTACTGCTGCGGCGGCAGCTTGAGCAGGACAGAGAGGGAACGCGCCGCGCCGCCCGCGTCGCGCGGCGGCACCTGTTCGCCGAGCCTCACCGAGATTCGCCGAGGTTCACCGAGATTCGGCCCGCATCGCTCGCGGCAGCACCTCGCTCAGCCGGCCGATCCGCTCGAGCGAGCAAGTCAGGGTGCGGGCGAGGGTGCCGGTGCCGCCGCCCGCGGCGAGCTGCGCCCACTCGGCCTCGGTCGTGAGCGCTCGCAGCCGCGACAGCTTGGGCGCGAGCGCCGCCGCCGGCGAGGTGAGCCTAACGGTGTGGAACATGAGGGCGGTCATGAACATGAGGGCGGGAAGACGGTATTGTGCAGAGTGTGCAGAGAAGGGCGTGAATGCGAGGAGTACGAATGCGGCGGATAGAGCGGAAGGCGGTCGAGTGCAGCGGCGTGCCTGTCCTCTCGAGCGCTGGCTGGAAGGCAAGAGCACGTCTTCCGCTTCTAGGGCGCGAGATATGGTGGAGATACGGGGAGATAGGGGGAGATCTTCCGCTTCTAGGGCCGTGGGCAGCAGCAGGGTCGGCTGGTGCCGGACGAGCCTACGTGCTGAATACGCCGACATGAGGGCGGGAGGACGGTCTTGTGCAGCGAATTCAGAGCACCGCGTGAATACGAGGGGAGGCGAGGACAGTGAATTCAGCGGAATACGGCCGAATACGGCCGAAGACGTGTCCTCTCGAGCGCTAGTTCGGATGCATGAACGCGTATTCCGCTTCTAGGCGGACGAGATCTGGGGAGATCTGGGGAGATCTGGGGAGATCTGGGGAGATCTGGGGAGGTGTGGGGAGGTATTCCGCTTCTAGGCGGGCGAGCTGCAGCGCGTCGAGGCCGAGCGGCTCAAGCAAGTCGCGCAGCGCGGCGAGCGTGCGCTGCACGCGCGCGGGAGAGCGCGAGAGCAGCCGCGGCGCACGGCGGAGCACCAGGCCGACCTCGACGCCGCCGCCCAGCGCCGCGCTCAGCGCCGCGCAGCGTGCGGCCACGTGCGTGTGGTCGAGCGAGAGCATGCCGGGCTCGTGCGACACGAGGCGGAGGGCCGGCAGGTCCGTCGCGGCCTGCAGCGCCTCCACTCTCGCCGCGAGGTCCATCTCGCGGCTCAGCAGCAGCCGGCCGTGCCGACGCAAGACACCCGCCACACCCTCCTCCGGCAGCAGGTGAAGAAGCGTCTCGAGCTGGCGCAACGCGAGACAGGTGCCGCCGTCGGCGGACGGCGCGGTCGCCGCGAGCACCGCGGGCGTCGCGAGCAGCCGCGTGACGGACGCGCCTGCCACGCCGAGCCTGCACAGCCGCTCGCGGAGCGTGGCAGCATTGGCGCGCTGCTGCGCGGCACGGCGGGCTCGGAGCTCTTTGGGTGAGACACCGTTGACGACGATGAGCTCGGTCTGGTCGTCGCGCGACGTCTGCAGCTCGCCGGGCTTAGGCACCCACAGCCTCCGCCCGAGCCACATTCGGCGCGTCGGACGAGGCGAGCGACGAGAGTCGTCCGCCGCGACGGCCTCGCCGACAGGAAGCTCGCCATCGTCGAGCGCCTCGCCGACCGGGAGCGCGCCGCCGCCGGCGCCGAAAAGACGCTCGCCCTCAGCGTCGTCAGCGGGCGCGGCGGCCAGCACAAGGCGCGAGCGCGGCACGAGGAAGTGGCGAGAGGAGGACGCGAGGAGGACTGTATAGCAGGCAGCCATGCAAAAACTGTGCGGGCAGAAGTGTGAACAGGTCGGCCATCCTGGTCGGCCACTCTCCTGGATCACTCTCCTGGTCACCATTGTCGCGTACGGCCTCGAGGATCGTAGCGTCGAGGGATTCCTCCTCGACTCGCTCCCCGACTCCCCGGTCAAACGTGTCGCCTCCGGTCTCCTTGCTTTATCGTGGCGTACGCCATCGTCTCCGTGCCCCTCACCAACTTCGTGGGAGCGGCAGATGCTGCAGTTCACGGAGGACAACTTCGAGGACACGGGCATCGAGGTGCGGTCGATAAAGGGAATGAGAAAGGGTGGTTCCCGATGAGATGCCAGGAAACTTATCATTTGGTGAGCCGGTGTGTGTGCCAGTCCGCGCCAGTCCGCGCCCTTGTCGTGCCAGTGTGCTGTGAGAGGGGCTGGTTTTAAGAATTCTTTTCCCTCGCGATGTGTGTGTGTATATAAATGTCCACCCCGTCGTGCCGCCGCTCGCGCCGCCTCGCCTCCGCCGCCTCCGCCGCTCCCTCGCGAAGCACGCCGCCGCCCGCCCGCCTCCTCGACCTCCCCAGGGAGCTCCTCGAGCGCGTCCTCTCTCACTGCCGCAGCCCCGCCGACATCGCTCGCGCCGCGGCCGTCTCGCTCCTCTTCCACGCCTCGCTTGCGCTGGAGGGCATCCGCTTGTGGGCGCAAGAGCGCGGCTTCGAGCTGCCGGCGCAGCCAGAGGGCGAGAGCTGCGCCGTGCGGTGGCTGTGCTTCTCGGCCTTGCTGTGCGAGTCCAACCCGCCGGCGAGGGTGGCGACGGGCGCACAGCACAGCGTTTTCATCGACGGCGAGGGGCGGCTCTCGTCGTGCGGCGCCGCGCTGGACTGGGCTCCAGGGCTGCTCGGTCACGGCGAGGGAGTGACGCGGCTGAACACGCCCACCCGCCTGCCGAAGAGGATCGAGGCGTTGGCTGGCCAGCGCGCTGTGAGCGTGTCGGCTGGAGGCAACCACAGCCTCTCCCTCACCGCCGACGGCTCCGTCTGGAGCTGGGGCTGGGGAGCCTTTGGCGAGCGCGCTGTGCTGCAGCAGCAGCTCGACCACCATCTCGTGGCCTTTGAGAGCAGCGCCCATCAGCGCGGTGACGCCACTGCTGTCCTGCACGTTGATCTCCGCCCCATGCTGCAGCAGCAGCTCGACCACTCGCTCATGGCAGTAGTGGGCGGCGAGCACCAGCGCGGTGAAGCCATCACTCATCTGCTTGTTGATCTCCGCGCCGCGCCGCAGCAGCAGGTCGACCACCCGCTCGTGGCCGTTGCCAGCGGCGGCTATCAGCGCGGTGCCGGCGACGCTGTTCTGCAGTTTGACGTCCGCGCCGCGCTGCAGCAGCAAGTCGACCACTCGCTCGTTGCCGAAGCCGGCGGCGTCCATTAGCGCGGTGTTGCCGTTGCCGTCCTGCAGGTTGATCTCAGCGCCGTGCCGCAGCAGCAGCTCGACCACCCGCTCGTGGCCGTTGTTGGCGGCGGTCATCAGTGGGGTGAAGCCTTTGCTGCTCTGCAGGTTGATCTCTGCGCCGTGCTGCAGCAGCAAGGCGGCCACTCGCTCGTGGCCGTTGACGGCGGCGTCCATCAGCAGGCGTGCATGTGCAGACAGAGATAGACAGAGAGGAATGTTGCGACTTGCTTGCGTGTGTGTCCTGACGGAGTCCCAGGTGGCCGGAAAGTCCAACCGCGCGAATATCATTGACGCCAAAAAAGCCGGTCGCATTAATTAACCAAAACTTGGCGGGATTGGGGCGGGAATGAAATTCAACAAGTAAAACAAGCACACGGCCGCCCTCCTCCCCCTGCCTCCCCCGCCCCTGCTCAATGGTGCCCCTCTCGGTCGCGGCTCTGGCTCAGGACCCGTGTGTGAGCAGCGCTACTGCCTTCCGCGATCCACACGTGTCGTTTGCGTACGGCGGCACCGCCGACTTCCGTGGGCGCCACAATACGCTCTACAACTTCCTGTCTGCGCCCGGCCTCGCTGTCAACGTCAAGACGGAGGAGGCTATGTTCACACTCCACGACGGTTCTCTGACGGTCAACGGAACGTTTTTGACAGAAGCGCATGTCGTGGCGCGCATCTCCCCACAAAAGGTCGCCCAAGCGTCCTTCTACTCCGCCGAGCTCGACCGCAACGGCTTCGGCTGGCAGATTATAAATGGCACGTGCGTCGGCCGTCCCTTTAAGTTTGGCCACAAGGGTCACAAGGATTGCTTTGGCTTGAAGATTGCGATGGTCTACTCTAGCGGTACCTTCCAGTTTGGCGAGTGGACCATCTCTGTGCGCGGCATGCCGAGCTGCGAGGGCTGCCTGATCGCCGGCCCAAAGCACCGACTCGACGTCAGTTTCACTGCGCACGGCGACGCACCCTCCCGCGATAAGCCGCACGGCATCATCGGTCGCGGCTAGCGCTGCCCATCGCCGTACCCACGAAAGAGCGCAGTTTGACAAATTGCTGTGAGTAGGCCAGTCCTACGCGACGATTGGGCAACCGCGCAACGGCAAGATGGACGAGTACCCTCCTGCAGGTAGCATCACCACCAGCGCTCTCGCCGAGGGCGCCATCGAGGGCGCGGCCTCCGACTACGAGGTGGCGAGTGCCTACTCAACTGGCTTTGCCTTCTCGCGCTTTCACGCCGAGAAGGGCGGCCCCCTCTCTGCGAAGGGCGCACTCTCTTCTGACGTTGATGCATCGAGCGTCGAGGGCACCCCCAAGGACCACTCCGACACCGCTCAGGGCCGTCGCATGCACGAAGAGCTTCTGCAGCGGATGGATGCGCTCGAGGCTCGGAATGCCGCACTCGAGGCTCGGAATGCCGCACTCGAGGCGCGGGTTGCAGTCGACGCCGGCGGCCCTGGCAACACTCGCTCAATGGGGCTCTGGCCGGTTGACGCTCAGCGCCGCCGCCTCTCAGAGACGACGACATGCTGTGCCGCAATCGACGGGTGTGGCACGCCCTCGTGGGGCACATCTCTCGAGTCTCGAGTCTCGAGTCTCGAGGCCAGCGGTGACGGTGACATCATTTTCGAGGTGGCCGCGGCTTTGTCGGGCAAAATCGACTTCTCGCCCGGCAATATTGACTTTGCCTGTACGCAACTCGCCGGCGTGGGCACCATCTTGAAGCGTATGGACATTTGGGGCACCGGTGTGTCCGCGACGGCGTTCAACGAGTGTGTGAAGGACATTGTCGAGATCGGGGAACAGCTCTATCTGCAAAGGGTCAGCTGGGACCCAAGCGACGGTGATGTGGTGTTTGCGTCGCTAAAACGCGCCAGCAGGATCTACGCGGACGTCACCAGCCCCGGAAGCAGCATGACTTCACTCAGCTTTCCTGCGCTGGAGACCATCACTGGAAGCACTTTTCAGGTACAGAGGCAAAACCTGATGAGATCGTTGAGCATGCCGAACCTGAAATCTTTGTATACGGTCTCTATTAAAGACAATGCCGTTCTCGAGGAGCTTGACTTCAGCAGCCTTGTGCAAATGGAATCCACGGCCTCTTTCACAAACTTGCCCTCGCTTCAGAACGACAAGGTCAAGTTCTCCTCGAACTTCCAAAAGGGTTGTGGAGCGACCACATTCTCAGGAGTCGGGACCGTCAGCTGTTCTGGCAACGCGGGTCTGCAGGCTATTTACGATGCCTGCACCGGTGCCAACAAGTGCACGTTCCCGTGGAATTCTAATGTCCGCTGCACCGCCTCCTTCTCCGTCACCCCCGCTTGCTCGTGAGCAATGCCCCAGCCACGAGAGCGCTTGGGTCCTCCCCACCCGATTCCAGGGTGCAGGCAGGGAGAGCATGCTGAGATGGACGGGGCGGCGACCGGCACAGTCATTGGGCGAGCCGCCACAGAAAGAAATCCCCGTGTGATGCACGCCCTGCGAGCGGGGCGGGGTGCGCGCTGTGCCTCTGTGGTTCGTTATTGCGCCCCCGGCCCGACGAGTAGGCAACAACGATTCGTTTTTCTTCAGGCGATTTGATTGATTGATGGCGAGTCGAAAGTCGGATCAGAACGCTGTGTCAACCTCTCACAGACCAGCGCACAGCGCCATACGAGGTATTTTCTTTCTCAATAACAAGCCTCGCTACCCAACGCGGCCAAAGGATATCCACCTCGAGAACCTCGAGAAGGCTGTGAAAGCCATCGAGGGGGGCCAGCTTGGCCATGCGACATATGGTGACTTTCACAGCCCGGCGCGCTGCCGGCTGCGTGTGGAGCCTCCGCCGGCGCGGCTCTCTGCTGCGCGCATCCAGCCTCAGCCGCAGCCAGCAGGTGCTGCCCCGTACGATCGGGGCTCCCTGGACGGTAACGACTCGCCGCGCATCTCACCGTAGCAAGGATGGCGACGCAAGCACAGAGGAGGAGAAGGCGATGCTCGACGAGTTGTATGCTATGTACCAGCAGCAACTCGACGAGGTAAAGCTGATGCGCGCCATGCTGGGTGACGGCGACATGCCCGAGGAGCTGTTGGAAGAGGTGAAAGGGGAGGTGGCAAAGCTTGAAGCCGAGCTGAAGCAGCTCAGGGCTGAACTTGGTGACGCAGGACACGACGAGGCTGGAGACGCAGGCGAGTTGGCTGGAGACGAGCTGGTCAGATCATGGACCCACGTCGAGCTCACAAAGCACGCAGGGCTCCAGCTGGCGCAGCACAACCGGATCGCGGACAATACGTGGTATTGGGAAGAATACGGCGACTTTCTGTGGAGTCCTGCCATTGCCCTGGCACGGTGGCTGGCCCAAGAATCAATCGCGCTGGAAGACAAGACGGTATTGGAGCTCGGGGCTGGGCTTGGGCTTCCTGGCGTCACGGCAGCAACAGTTGGAGCAAGGCAAGTGCTCATTCAGGATCAGCTTGAAGTGTCGCTACGGGAGGTGACTGCAACAGCGGCCCGAAACGGCGTCGATGACCGGGTCTCAACGTTGGCTTGTGCATGGGACGATCTTGGTCGGCAGCTCCCGGTTGACTTCCGCGAACCGGACGTCGTTCTGGGCTCCTGTCTTCTGTATGAGCCGGACACTTCCCTCGCGTTGGCTGGTTCCTTGTCGCAGGTTCTGAAAGGCCCAGGAGTCGCATACATTGCGGCAGCTGAGTGGGAAGGGTCCCAAGATGTGTTCATAGATCACTGCAAGGAGGCCCGGTTGACAGTGGAACGTTCCGAGCTACACACATGGGTCCCAGATGCAGAACAGGAGGCGACTACAATGCACGCCATGTTTACGGTACGCACCACAACCACAACACAGCAGTAGTCAGCACGTGCACGAGCCCTCGGAAGACGCGAGTGCACGAGTGCGGAGAAAGTGATGTCCATGTCTTGCGTCGTGTACTGTAGCTGTAGCGTAGCTGTCGCATTGCTTCATCCCATCTGTGCACGGGTGCACTCAAACTTCGAGCGTTGTCCGTTGAGCGCGCGGTCTGATCTTCTCTGAAGTGTGTGCTCTGTGTGAGTCTCTATATCAAATTCAGAGATATATGTACTTTAAAACAACAGAATTTGAGACAAAAATCAAGATGCGTGAATGCCCGTTAGAGCTCTATGCTCACGCCACCATATGAGATGGATATGACATCCATGTCATGGTCCAGCACACATGGACACCATCATGGTCGGGCACGTCATGACGTGAGCCATGTCGGTCGTGCGCATGCTATGGACACACAGGCTGCGCGGCCCCGTCCCCTCACTGTCCCCCACTATGCTCGGGTGCGGAGAGCCACGAGCGTCTCGGTCTATCGCACCCGAGCCACATGTTGTCTACTGGCTTTCTCTCGTCTCACCCCTCCTCTCTCAACTCCTGCATCAGCTTGCTCTCAGAATGGTGGTGGTGGTGGTGGTGGTGGTGGTGATGGTGGTGGTTCTGGTGCGCAAGGTGCGATGGCACGACCGCAGGTCGGTCGCTTGGCGCTGCCCCTCCGACCCACGACGCGGACGTCCTCGGGCTGCGGTCCACGGTGTTCACCATGGACGAGCTCGCAGCGCCAAACGGCTGCGGAAATCGCTCCTGCGGCCTTGTGCCAGCGTCAGTGAAGGCGGCGAAGGACGGCAGCGCCAGCAGTGCTGCCAGAATCAAGGGCGTCAGCGCCGCAATGGCCCGCAGCGGGAACACCGGGCACGCTAGCCTGGGGGTGCGCGGCGGAGCGTTGGCACCCTCGGAAGTGCCGCAGCGGGCCGCGTGTCCATATCCCTCCACTGGCTTGAGCAAAGCGGTCGTCCCGACCGAGCCTGTCGCCCCTGTGGCTGGCTCTGCGTCGTCCGCCGTGAACGGCCTGCGCTCGACCAAGGCCCAGCTGGGCAAGTAGTTCTCCCAGTCCTCTCGGGAGAGGATGCTGGCGGGGCCGGCGGCGTACGTCCTCTCGCGCAAGTCGGCCGCGCGGATGACATCGTCCTGCCGCGGATGTGGGCCGATGAAACGGATCTTGCCCGTCCCGGTCTCCATGATCGCGGCGAGCAGCTCCACCTCGCCCGTGCGCACCACGTCCCGGATATTCTTCGAGGCGAGCATCATCTCCATGGAGTAGAGGCAGTTGAGCTCCGTCGTCAGCCGCTGCGCCTTGATCTCGCGGCCGGCGGCGGTGAGGGAGGCATCTTCCTCAACCTGCCGGATGGCACGCTGCGCCGAGACCATGATGTGTTCGAGCACCGCACGGACGGGCGCGCGCGGCAAGTAGTGCCCGCGCAGCTCTTCGATGGCCGCCGTCACGACGGCAGAGCTGCTCTCGACGAGCACGAGCAGCACAGGCGGCTTCCAACGCATGACGGCGTACTGGATGGAGGAGTAGGCGGTGCGCTCCTTGAGGCCCGCGACGGAGCCGAGCACGCGCTGCACGACCAGCCGGCCAGGCTCAACGTCGAACAGGTCCTCGATCGGGACGCGCGACTCCGAGCCGCCGAGCACGACTGCGCACGGCGGCGCAGAGCCCTCAAGGCCGCACGGAGTGCGGTAGTGCCACCGGCCGGCGCAGAAGCGGTCGTTGCCCTGCCGCAGCATCGTGATGACTCGCCGCGCCCTCTCGGACACGGCGGGGTCCTTCACATCGTGGATCAGCGTGTGGTGGGTATTGCGCCAGCGGTGCATGTCCATTGGGGAGAAGGAACGCGAGCACGAGATGACGAGCGCCTTTGGCTGCACTGGTCGCAGTGGCGCACGGTTCTTGCCAATCTTGTCCTCCTCGATTTGCTGCAAGTAGTCGCACATGCCATCCCCGCGCGCCTCCGCATCGCCGCCGCCGTCGCCGCTCTGCCGGTGGTCTCTCAGCCAGCGGACGTATTTGCGATTTCCCTCTAGCAGCTCGAAGAGCACCTCGTCCTGCAGTGCGTCATCCGCCCCGTTGCCTCCGCAAAAGTCGCCGCTGCCGCCGCTGGTCGACGCGACATCCGGCGGATCGTGCATCTTCTGCGCGCTTCCCCTGCTCTCCGACAGCGAGGTCGTCGCAAGTCCCAAATGAGTCTTACTTTCGTTTCGGGATGCTGCTGTGAATGTTCCCGGAAGACTGCACACTCTTTACACATCTTTTACGCGGAACATTGCGGTCCAGTCCGATCCACCCGTTGACGAGGTGTCGCCCGTACGGCGCACCTTACGCGCTTACGCCCTTTCCCGTTCATGTGCTCGCCAGAAATTTAATGACGGGTAGAGAGTGAGAGAAAACGAGAAAGGGAGCGCAAACCGCGCGCCCAACCCCCCCCCCCCCAAACCAAAGAAAAGAATTTACCATGACACTCTCTCACACAACACTCACTAGGCACGGGACTGGCGCGCTCTGCCTCTGGCGGCACAAACAACGTTCATTCACGCTAAAAGAATTCTTTCCTGCAGCGTCTTGTCGAGCGAGATCCTAGAAAAAGCCGCCGCCGCAGCCGAACAGCTTCCGCCGCCGCCGCGCAGGCATGGCGGCCGGCGGAGACTCGGCTGCTCCACACCAACACCTCCGGGAAGGAGCCGCTCAATACGGCCTGCGGCCCTGGCTGCCGAGGCTTCGTGTCGACGTCGACGTCGCGGATGCTACGCTAGCACACCGCACTACGCACTGTCGGTCTCGTTGTTCGGCAAGCAGCAGTCGAGTACCTAGAATCAAAGAACAGACAGCGGAAGGCGACCGCGAATTCTTTTTATTTTGAAACTGGCGCGGCGAATTCTTTTTGTGCGTGCCTCTCTCGTCTGCCCCCCCCCTCCCCCGCTCGTCGGGCACAGTATGACCGATCTTCGCTCCTTCGTCGCACTGCATCCTCCCGGTGCGTGCAGAACTCCCGGCGGCGGGACCGGAACATACAGCGAGCGGTGGGGCCTTGCGCTGCCACAGTGCGAGGCGGCATGCAAGCCGGATCCGCACTGCCGTGCATTCGAGTTCGCTCAGTACCTTGCTCGGACCGGCACGAGCAAGTGCGAGCTGCACACGGACCGTATCGCCTTCGCCGCGCCCGTGTCGGGAGCTGCATGCTACGTGAAGTCCGGACAGCAGGCGTCGTACGGAAAGATGGCCACGCCGCCGCCCGTGATGGCTGCTGCAGCAGTGCCTGCCCAAGCGCGAGAGTGCGCGAGGCTGGCCAACGCGTGGTTCGACCTCGCCTCCACCGCCCGGCTGAGGCTGCACAACAACGCCCTTCTGCCCGGGGTGCGCCAGCTTGCCACCGCCCTGCCTACCGCCCTGCCTTCCGCCCCGCCTACTGAGCACTATATCCCACCTATACCTAGCAGCGCGCGTCTGCCTGTAGCCGCCTACCGCCCGCTCGCAGGTGCTCATCCACAACCTTGAGCCCGAGGCGACGGGGAGGGGGGACCTCCTCCGCTTTGGCGACCCGCGCACTCGCCCCTTTAAATGCTGTCTGGCCCGTGGAGGCGCGTCTCCACATCGCCCCCCGCCGTGGACACAGGCAACCGGCTGCCGGCCTCTCTCGTCAGCAGGAGCATAAGTAATCGGTAGTTAATAGTTCATTCACAGTCCATTCATCGTTAATTGATTCGAGCTCTCTCGTCAGCAGGAGCACGCCGCGGCGCGACTACAGCCGCTGCGAGGGGCTCGTCCCCGGCTCGAACCGGCACGGGCCACGGCGGCTGTAGTGTCGCCTAGACACTTCCTGGACACTTCCTGGACACTTCCTAGGCACGGGCCGGGCCATGGCGGCTGTGTCTCAACCTACCGCGTCGACTGGCCGGGCATGGTACTAAGCAGTGGTAGTAGTAGTAGTAGTAGCAGCAGCAGCAGCAGCAGCAGCAGCAGCACAGTAGTGAGCAACTGTGTTATCTCCACCCACCGCCTCGGCCGGCCACCGAGCACACACCGTGCCGCCGGCCTACCACCACTCTTCACTCGCCCGCCCTGTCGACCCCATGGTTCACTCGCAGGCGCTGCACCCGGACGCCACGCGACTGCTGTGCGCCTTCCCCCACGACACCGCCTCGCAGGCGCCCCACCCCCTCTCGCACCCATCCGCGTCGCATGCAGCACACACCCTTGTGTGGTGAGACCCGCCCCCCCCCCCCTCCCCCCAAAGGGGTGGAGCAGCAGCGCCGGCGGCGCAAAGGAGGTGTGCGAGACCGCGGTGGCGCGCGGGCACGCCTTCGCCGCGGACCAGCTCCCGCGCATGCTCGAGAGCTGGAAGGAGCCGCAGAACGGCTGGAACTACAACGAGGTGCCCACGCGCCCCGCCTCGAGATGCCCTCGAGATGCCCTCGAGATGCCCTCGAGATGTCCTCGAGATGTCCTCGAGATGTCCTCGAGATGCCAGCCGCCGCGAAGTGCGGCCGTGTGGCGGTGCCGGGATCCGGTGTTGATCGCCCGAGAGGCTGATCAGTGTTGCGGGAGCGCCCCTCCTCTGACCTCCCTCCGCCCCCTCCCCCGCCTTGCACCTCCGCAAAAGGTGATCGTCGACGGCATCGCATTCTCGGCCGCGGCGCCCGCCTCCATCCTCGCCTTCTTCGTGACGCCCTGGAACTCCCACGGCCCCGCCGGCCAGGCGCGCTGCTCTCTTCTCACACCTCCCCGACACACGTGCCTTCCACGCAGCTCCCCCCCTCTGCTTGCCTCATCTCACATCTCATGTCTCGTGCCCCGTGCCGCCAGTTCTCGAGGGCCGCAGGCCGGTACGGCGCCGCGGGGCCGCCCGTGCTCTGCTTCGACCCGCGGAGGTACGCCTCGCCCTTCTCCGAGGCGGTGCAGCGAGGCACCGGCTGGAGCTGCTAGCACTCTCGGATGTGTAAGAGCATCCTAGAGACAGAATATGTGCCCGGCGTGAAGTATGCGCCAGTCTACGTCGCCCCGCGGTGTGCGCAGCGTGCTCCCGCCTGAACCGTGATATATTGGTTTTTACTGGTGGCACTTGTGGCATGGACGCAGAATGTGGGCACAATGGCAATCGAACATGACGGCTAGCGTGCCATTTTTCACTCTCGCTGACACGCTAATCTTGAAAACGTCTCCAACGGAGCTCTGTGTTGCTTCCAGCGCCCTCCCCCGCGAGCTCCCTGCGGCCATGGCCGATGCTCCTAGGAAGAGAGGTCATCTGGCTACCGCGAGAGCGACCCAACTCGTCGACATCGTCCGATGATGGTGCCGCAAAGTCAGCCTTCGGAGGCTATCGTGGGGTCGAGCCGGCAGTAGCCGTGACATGTGGTTCCACCACCCCTCGTAGGCTTTGCCTCTGACCCCGCCACCGTTCCCAGGCTGCCTAATGGGATGGAAAGGAAGGCTCGGCGAGCGTATAGAAGCGTGCTCGACCTCGTCGTGGCAACCTGTACGGCAGCGCTGGTAGGCGCGATGAGCGTCGTGCCACCTGACCCGAGACGGGTCGCAGGCGTCGTACCGAGCGCGTCGAGACCGTGTCCTGATGTGGTCTGCACGGGTGAGTCACGTCGGCGTCAAAGGAGCGACGTGTGACCTGTCAGAGCTTGATCTCCGATCTCAGCGGCGTCGAGTCGTCTCCGGCGCGCAACAAATGTACCTCTCGCCAGGACACGCAGAGGGCCCCCGGGTCGAGGCGCCGCGGCCCGAGAGGTGCATCCAAGCTTCTGCGGCGAAGCTCTCGCTCAGCACAGCTCTCCCCGCGCCACCCGCTCCCTGCGCCAGCCTCTCCCCGCGCCAGCCTCTCGCGCATTATCCAGCCTCTCGCCCACTCCGGCGGGATGAGGCCCCTCGTGTGCACCTCTCACCTGCTAGCGCCCCTGGCATGTCGGCTTTCTAGGCAGGTCATTGGCCTCCCCCCCGCCAAACTCGGCCATTCCAACGGCCAGGCCGCTCGCTTAAGGCTGATTGGCTAGACGAGCGGCCTACCTCCAACGGGGCGGCCCGGGAACGCGTAGAACCTGCACCTCGGTGGGAGGTGGTTTGGCGCCGACGGACCGCCCTCTCCACCACCCTCGCCCAGGGATCTACAACGCTGTCTTAAGGTCCGACCTGTGGGCTCCGGCCTGCGCTCGGCACCGGGCACCGCCTCGGTATACAAAATGCGCCTGCGGGCGCCGGGCGGACCCTCACAGATCACAGATCATGCGCTCTCTCGTATCACACGAGCGATTCTAAGATCAGGCCTGCCACTGGGCGAACATCGGCCGTCCCTCAGTGCTTCCAGCCTGCCCGCTTGAGTTTCTCAATTCGTAGAAACAGAATAGCGCGGAGGGCCGCCCCCGCCAGGTTCGCTCGAAGCCAGGCAGCCCCGCTCGAAGCCGTGGCGGCGCAGGCTGCCACCGCTGCCCGGGCGCCCCGAGCGGCGGCGGAGGGCCGCCCAGGCCACCACCAGTGCCCCTCCCACCGGCGGCGCGGCGGCAGCGGCGCCGACCGCCCCTCCATCAGCGGCGGCGACGGCTGTCGTCGGGGCGCCGGCAGGTGCCGCGCGCGGAGGGTGCCACCGGACCGGCCGACGCGCGCCCGGCGGATCCTTCGTCGTCCACGGCGGGCCGAGCACCCCCGCGTCGCTTCTCGGCGCATTGGAGAGCAGAGGAAGCTGCTGGCGTCGCCGCTGGGATCGGCGGCGGCGCCAGCAGCGTTCTCGGATCTGAAGCCGACTTTGAGCGCCGATCGATCGATCTGAGGCTCTTGCCGATGGGTGGCGCTGGGACATCGCCGCCGCCGCGGAGGCCGGCGGCGACCAGAGGAGCGGTTGGGGCGCGTGGCGCATATGTTACCTGCCAAGTGAGCATTCAAGTGTGCTTCGAGATTTATTCGAGGTTTGAAACTTAGATTTCGGTCTCAGCTGGGAGGTGGCAGACCTGATCTTAGAATCGCTCACACCCCCTTCCCTCTCTCCCTCTCCCCTTCGCCGCCCCCCAAAAGAACGGTTCTCCCCGCGGCATCAGCCAAGTCGGGCTCGATCTGGTAGGGATCCCTAGCCAACCACTGCAAGGACATTCAGTTGTAAGCCGTAACCAAATTCCGATATGTTGTCGTGCCGTGCCTT